ACTGGACACAGGCTCCCCTTAAGTATGATTTGTATACCCAATGAGATTCCTTTGGAGAAGACCGATTTCTCCTTTTCAAGTGGTTATCTATTAGCGGTACATTCTGGGTTAGAGATGGGGGCGCATGTCTAGTTACCCTCTCAGTATTGGGACCCTAGTATGGCTTGTACCCGTGCAGGTCCTGTGAATACTGCTATGGTCTCTGTGAGGTCATATGTTCATCAGTCCTGTTGTGCTTGTAAGTCAATGTTTCCTTGGTGTCATCTTATAATCTTTAGCTGCCTCCTCTGCTGCATAGCTCCCTGAGCCCAGGGGGAAAGGGCTTGATGAAGGCATCCCATGTAGGACCTAGTGTTTCAAGGTCTCTCACTCTCTGCACATTGTCTGGTTGTGGGTCTCTGTATTAGTTCCCATCTACTGCAGGAGGAAGCTTCTCCGATGATTGCTACACCTGACCTATGGGTGTAGCTGAATGGCAATAGGAGTCATTATATTGCTATGCTTCTGTAGCAGTACTCATATTTGGTTTTCCTCTAGGTTCATGGCCTATCTCAGATTCTTGGCCACTCAGGCAGTGTCAGGCATGGGATCCACCTTATGGAGTGGGTCTTAAATCCAATCAGATAGTGGTTGTTTACTTCCACAACTTTTTGGTGGCACACATTTTTAACTCTACCATTCAGGAAGCAGAGACAGAGAGATCTCTTTGAGTTTATTTATTTTTTATTTAAAGATTTATTTATTATGTGTACAGTGTTCTGCTTGCATGTGTCCCTGCAGGCCAGAAGTGGACACCAGATCTCATTACAGATGCTTGTGAGCCATCATGTTGGTTGCTGGGAATTGAACTCAGGACCTCTGGAAGACCAGCTAGTGTTCTTTTTTTTTTAATTAATTTTTTACATTCCAATCCCAGTTTTCCCTCCTTTCTTTTCTCCAAAGCCCTCCACTCCCCCATTCTCCCATCTGTTCCATGGAGAGGGTAAGGCCTCCCCCCTAGGAAGTCTACTAAGTCTGTCCCATCATCTAGTTGAGTCAGGACCAAGACGCCTCTCCATTCCCACACCACTGTGTCTAGGCTGGACAAGGTATCTCTCCATATAGAATGGGCTCCATTAAGTTAGTTTGTGCATTAGAGTTAGATCTTGGACCCACTGCTAGTGGTCTCATATATTATCCCAGTCACACCATTGTCACCTATATTAAGGGAGTCTAGCTTGGTCTTATGCAGGTTTCCCATTTGTCAGACCTGAGTCAGTGATCTATCAGCTAGTGTTCTTAACCACTGAGCCATCTTTCCAGATCCTGATCTCTATGAGTTTAAGGCCAGCCTGCTCCACATAATGAGTTACATGCCAGCCAGCACTACACAGTGGAATCTTGCCTCCTGTTCTTCCTCTGCAAAAAAGAAAGAAAAGAAACACTGAATATAACACCTACAATAGCACCTAGCATATATTGCACAGCATGTTAATTATTTAATAATTATTTCCATCATCATGTAATTAATGGAATTGGCTATGACCTAGTTAGAGTTTTAGAATCATAGCCCAGTTGATTAATATGTCATCATGGAAGGGACAGTGCCTGCCCAGGGTCACATGTGGAGGCAGATGAAAAGTGACTGGAAAGCCTATCTCAGAGGGTGATCAAGGCACCTGGAGCTCAATGTCTCTTTTGCGCTTGAGTTTGGAGCCAAACTTCTCTGGACAAATTTCATCTGTCAATTTGACATTAGTGTGATGTTGGTTAAATTATTGACCAAGGTACCTCGGTGCCCAAATACACAAATTAGAGCTAAATAACATCCATCTTATGAGGTTGTGGCAATCATTAAAAGAGTCACCATATCTTCTGAAAGCCTGCAGTCAATGCTTACCTAATGTCAACAACTGCCCGGCTTTTGCTTAGCCGTCTTTCCTGCAATGCTTATAGTAGCCACTAGATGGCCACACTGTGATTCAGCCCGCTTCACTTCATTGACCAGCCAATTTCTCCACTTCCCCTCTCCTTCCTCGTCATGCTCTTTCATGCCTCGTTGCCTATGCTGTCCATGCTTATGATTCCTGGCTTTCCTTCTGCAGGCCTCACCTCCCGCAGGATGGTTCTCTGACCACTACCCTCATCAGATGGGCCAAACTCTGGACTGTGAGCTTCTGGAGGACAGGGCGTCCACTGAAGAGCAGGCGCAGTCCCTGTAGAGTGGAATTGCTGAATGAGTATCTCTGTGTTAGCCAGTCTCAGCTTGTCTGCACGGCTTTTAGCAAGTCACTTAACCTTCCTGGGGCTCAGTTATCTTATTTCTAAATTGACATTAAAATGAAGGTGCTCCTTACATTTGCTGTGACAGTCTGGTGTCAAGCTCTAGTGTGAGAATTGCCATGCTGTAGATTCAGGGCCACCATGTATAGATAGAGCACCTGCCTGCCAACCACTGCCCATGCCCACTGGCACCCTACCCCAGCCCTGTTACACGGCACATTTAATAGTATTGTTTTTGCTTACCTCTCCCAAGAACCCTTTTAATGGAGAGTGGGGCAGCCTAGATTTAGTCTGGAGCCCATCTGATCAGCTAAGCCTGGAGTCTCCCATGCCTGGAAAGCACAGCCTCAACACGTTCTTCGCCGAAGCACCTCGAGTCACTGATCATTGTGCCCTGTCCTCTCCCCGAGTGCTCAGTGCTTTGTCCAGGTTAGAGCTGAGGGTGGCTGCTGGCTCCACCCCATAGATCTCTGGCTGCTTTGTGGGTGTTATCAGGAGCTGTTCTCAGGAGCAGCGCTAACCAGTCAAAGAGCCTGAGCCTTTCTGAGGCTTTTGCAAGGTGTACACTGTCTTACTTACTGTTTCTTAAGGGTTGAATGCATTGGTATTTGATCATTAAAGCAGTGGTAACAGTATATCTGCAGGATTCCAGTTTGCTTTGAGGGCAAATACTTCCAAAAGCTGTTTACAGAGCAGGTGCTCTCTTTGCCAAGTACCTTGTTTTGGTAGTGCTCCCCAACCAGGACTGCTTGAAGTATGTTCAACAGCAAACAGAGGACAGAGTTTACACAACTCTAAGAAAGCAAAAGTGACCCAGCAACTTCCACTGTTCTGGGTCTTAAAGCTAGCCTGGGGTCCAGGAAGAGTGACCACGAATGGGCTCGCTGAGGAGGTGTGAGGATGCCTGGGGTCCAGGAAGAGTGACCACGAATGGACTCGCTGAGGAGGTGTGAGGATGGTTCTGGCTGGGACTTCTAGCACTATGTTGAATAAAAGGGACGAATTAGACATCTTGTTATTGATCTAAGCAGAAAGTCTTTAGTCTTTTTGGATAGAGTGTGATGTTTCCTGTGGATTTTTAAAAGGCACAGGCTTTGTTTTTAATAAGGAGTTTCCTTCTAATCTCAGTTTATATAATTTTTTTTAACAGATGAGAAGCACAGCTTTATTTTCTTCAGCAACATTTAAGCACCAGACTAAACAAGTGGCCCTTAAGTGCCTGAGGACCAAATCAGGCAAAAAATATTAGGCCCCACATTTAAGTAGCAGGTACTATTTCTGCAATCTTTTCCAGAAAATTGTACTGCTTAGGAGGGGATGCACAAAATGTCAGATCTGAGCCCTTTTTCCCAGCCAGGCTTAATGAGAAACTGGGGGCCCAAAGCTCTGCATGGTGTTCACCACTAGGGAAAGCTGGTCAAGAAAGTTGATGGTGGAAATTTGGAGGAGGCGAGGGTCTTCTGAGTCCTGAGATCCAGTGTGCCCCCAGCATGCAGCCGCTCACTTTAAGCTCTTCCCCCAACAGTCCTCGGTGATGTGCAGCATCAGGACCTAGGGACCCACAGGCTGTTTCTGCCTCCAAAGAGGTCCGGAAAGGCACTGTAAGAGTGAATCTGTGATGTCGGATTCCCGGCCTTTGGGTTAAAGAACGGTGCTTTTGCTCGAACCGGAAACTTCCGGTGCCCGTGCAGCAGTGTGAGCTCCACTGGGAATAACTGCCTCCGCAGGACAGCAGTAGCTGGTCGGGGAATCCAAGCCATCTGCAGTGTGGCCTAAACTGTGTGCTGCCTCCAGGTCTACCGCTGCTTTAGAAAACTAGAAAAAGTACTGCATTTGTTAAAAAATTTCCTGCATCAATAGAGGTGATCATGTGATTTCACCTTTTATTATGTGGCTGTGGATTCCACCGACCAGTTTTTGTTTATCTGTTGAACCATCTTTGCATTTTAGAACTAAGTCCCACTTGTTCACCATGCCATGTGGTGCCTTTTCTATTATAAAGTATTAATTCTAATATTGCATCTTCCAGAGTTCGGGATGTCCTTGTGGAAAGTCTTTGTTCATTAACAGTATCTGTCTGTACTCTTCCGGGGAACATGGTCGTTTTTTGTTTTCTAGGCAGTTCTAGCTTGCCTGAAACGTGTGTAGACCAGGATGGTCTTGATTATGGAGATTTATCTGCTTCTGTCTCCTAAGTGCTGGGACTAAAGGCATGCACCATTACTCCTGGCTTGGGGAAATATTGTTAGGGTGTTTCACAATCTTAGGCTGATATTCATCCATTCATCCTACATTCCCAGGTGGTAGTGTACACAGTAAACATGGGAACCATCTGTGGCTACATTTATCCATGGCATGCAGTTAGGTTTGGTTATGTAGATAGAAATCTAGAGAAATGCTGCAAGTATTAAGCAAGAAAAGGAATGTTCTCTTAGTGGCATAGTGTCTCCTGTTTTGGCATAGGATACAAATCTCAGAGCACTGTTCCAATGGAGGCCTTTAGCAATACATGGTGGCCAGCATAGTAATTCATAGAACAATGAGTGAGGACCAGGTGAAGAAGGAAGGAAAAAAAAATCAGTGTCTTATGTTTTAGCATTTTTGTTTTCAGTGCAGGAGACTGAACCCAGAGCCCTGTGCTTGTTAGGCAACTATTCTACCCCTGAGCTACAGTCCCAACCCTCTTAATAGAAAATATTTTAGGAAAGATTGACAGAGACGCTTTACTGCTCCACTTATAAGGGGGAATGTTTATATTGTTTTCCACCATAATGGTAAAAGGACTCTGAAAACAACATGTTGTATATACATTATATATAATTTTATTTATTTGGGTTTTCAAGACAGGGTTTCTCTGTATTGTCTTGGAGGCTATCCTGGAACTAGCTCTGTAGACCAGGGTGGTCTCGAACTCACAAAGATCCACCTGCCTCTGCCTCCCGAGTGCTGGGATTAAAGGTGTGCGCCACCAACACCCGGCTCATTATATATAATTGATATCAATTTTTGAACTGTACCAGTGAGTAAAAGTTATGTGTTTGTGTTCTGAGATTCTTTTGAGACAGATATGCCAAAGGGTAAAATGACTTGTTTCCTAAACCAGAAGGATCCATTACTAATTATGGCCATTTTCCATGCTTGTGAAGGACACTAAAGCTGAGAAGGACTTTCAGTAAGGTCTAGGTAGGGGCTCTTGAATTGGACAGTGCCATTAAATCATAGACAAACTGTGCTTCTGTGCTTCGAGTGTGCACAAGATATCAAAATGTAGAGCCATGACTACTTTAAATTGTTAAAAGAGGCATGATTTAAAGAAGATAAATAAATGATGAACCTTGACAGAATCTGTAGCTTGGCTGGGCATGTCAATCCTTATGGGAAAATCAAAACCAGTGCTTAAGAAACTTAGCATCTGGGGGCTGGAGAGATGGCTCATCAGTTAAGATCACTGACTGGTCTTTGGAAGGACTTGGGTTCAATTCCCAGCACCCTCATGGTGGCTCATAACCATCTGCAATTCCAGTCCTAGAGGATCTGACACCCTCCTTTGTGGGCACTGCACAAACATGGTTCATAGTCATAAAGGCAGGCAAAACATTCATGCACATACAATTCAATAATTAAAAAAAACTTGAACATCAGTTTTTGCTCATGCACTATCTCCAGGTTGGGTTGGGGGGGGGGGGGTAGAGAAAAACGTGAACAAGTTATAGTATTTTGTTTGGGTCTACTGTGGCTCCTTTAAAATACCTGTTCCTTTGTGCCATTCCTTGCTTGGGAGTGGCTGTTTGGTTATGGATGACACCCTATCTTTTCTAGTGTTTACTTTAACACCAAAGTTATGATAAATAGTTGAACACTTAAATAGCTTTGAAGCAAAGAGTAAGACCTTAATTATTTGGACAGATATAAAGGAAAACACTCTTCACATAAATAATGGTCTACTATTAATAATAAAGTCTCAATGAGACAATTTAATTCTCTTTCGCATTGAGCTAGGAAGATGGCCTAGAACTAGTGGGACGGTTTGCTTTATGAGGCATCCAGTCTTCTGTCTATCTTATTCAGTCATCTTCAACACACAACTTTCAGGTAATAATATAAGTGCCCCTAGGTTCTGTCACCACATCTCTCTTCAAGGGAATAAACAGGAATTGGGGTCATAAACCTTTCCTTTTGAAGATATTAGCTGGAGACAGAACATATCATGTCTGTTCATAGTTCTGCCCCAAATTAAAAACCATGGTGTGTCTCATTGAAAGTCTATGGGCTGGGGAGATGGATCATCTGATAAAGTGCTTGCTGTTGAGTTTGGGTCCACAGCACACTGTAAAAAACTAGGCACGGTAGTTTGTGCACCTGTAATCCCCAGTGCTGCAGAGGGACAGACTCGGCAAACCCTGGGGCCATCTGGTCAGTCTAGCTGAATTGGTGAGCTCCAGGTTCAGTGAGAGACTCTGTCTCAAAGAATAATGTGGAGAATGGTTGAAAAAATACTCAGTGTTGGTCTTTGGTCTAAACATGCACATGTATTTGCATGTGCACATACATGCAGAGAAAGAGAGAGAGAAAGAGAGACAAGGGACAGACAGAGACAGAGAGATAGACAGATAGAAGGGGGCAGAGAGACACACTATACTCAGTAACTTGCAACCATGTGTCCAGTTAAGGATTCTATTTTTGCAGGAGTTAACAGAGGATGTGAGAGTGATGCTGAGTCATCTCTGCTACAAGGAGATTGTAATATAAGCATGGACTATGACAGATCCTTTAAAGTAGAAACAGTATTGGGACAGTGCTGATCCTGAATGAATCACAACTTGTAGAATTCAGTTATCAAGAACCATTCCAATTTCCACAAGGCTACAGGCTAACTTATAAAAGAAACTTCTGGGCTCTTCACAAATATAACTACTGATGTAAGTTTTAGAGCAACTCAAACACTCACGGCCATACTCACTGTAATTATCAAAGTTCCTGTTTAGTCTTACTTGGTCAAGTGCCAATTATACAGTGAAGCAAGGGAATCATTCTCTAGGTAGTTGGTGGTCTTCTGCATATAGGCACAGAGGAGACAAAAGGAACATAGGAGCCGCATTACAGTTATGTGACCCTGTCAGGTGTTTCTACAGGAAGCATTTGATATCATTGCACTGGAGGGCTAAATTCTCTTTACTTGTAGCATATTATTGATAAGATAGGGGTTTATTAAACCTGAGATGGTGGGTCTTCTGTATGGTTAAGGGACTCTTAGCCTCCACAAATCATCCTTTCTTGCATTATGCTTCCATGCTTATTAGTGCCTTTGGTTGACAGAACTGTTACATAGGATTTCTCCATATCAAAATGTCCAGAAATGCAAAGAACCAATGGACACCTGGTGAGAGAAGGCTGGTTCCAAGGATTATTTGAAGTTTTCCTACGATTGGACAGGATAACCTTGGTCAGTTTCTCAAATCTTGAATTCTGCCTCTTCATTCACACTTCCAGTCAACCAGTCAACCAAAAAGTTCTCTTTACTTTCCTAAATGTCATCAAAGTCACTCACACATTCATGTCCCTTAAGGTCCACTGCCACCACCCTTGGCAAGCGCCATCTACTTTTTTTTAATTAAGGGAGAGCATCAATGCATTCTCTCATTACAACAAAATATGAAGGCTAGTTCCCCACATTTGGGGGAAATCTCAGACATCTGGAATGCAATGGATGGACCTTGCCCTGGGAAAAACACCTTCATGATTATGATGTCTCTTTGATCAGATAAGTATGCAGCATCTATGTTTTCCCTTGTCTGAGCTTTCCAATTGTGTCCCTTTCTTCTGGTTTCTACGTTTGCCCTCTCTAACTTATCATTAGTTTGTTCATTATTCATGCAACAGATGCAAAACTACCCCTCCCATCCTCTTTCTCTCTCTTGTAGCTCAGGCTGGTCTTGAACTCATGGTTCTCCTGCTGGAGTTATAAGTATGCATAATCATGCCCAGGAAAAGGTCCTTAAAATGCAGTCCACCCTAGGTTCCACCTCGTTAAGCAGTTTCCATTCAGGCTTCATAAGAGTAGTTAGTGTCAGGTGGTGGTGGTGCACACCTTTAATCCCAGCACTGGTGAGGCAGAGTCAGGCCAATCTCTGTGAATTCGAGGCCAGCCTGGTCTACAAAGTGAGTTCCAGAACAGCTTCCAAAACCACAGAGAAACCCTGTCTGGAACCCCACCCCAAAAGAGTAGTTAGCACCAGAAACATACGTAAAAATAGTTTTGTAATATTCTAAGTTTACACTTTCTTATTTAAGATTCAAAATCAAGAAATCATAAAGAAAGTGTGTATATATTTTATTTATTATTTATTTTGAGTTTTCTAGACAGTGTTTCTTTGTATAACAGCCCTAGGTGTCCTGGAACTCACTTTGTGGACCAGGCTGGCCTCAAACTCACAGAAATGTGCCTGACTCTGCCTCCTTAGTGCTGAGATTAAAGGGATGCACCACTACTGCCCTGCTAGTATATCTTAATTGGCGAAAATCAAAGCATTTCATATATAAAATATACCATACCTTCAGTTAATAAAAGCAAAGGAATATGAAAATTACAAATAAAAGTTATTAGCAAGAATTATTATCCACAATATGTAAAGGATATATAGGTAAATAAGAAAAAAACAGAAAAACAAAGATAGATGGTGTTGCCTCAATAAAGATAGGGACTAGATAGATAGCTCAATAGGTAAAGTCTTGCTATACAAGTTTGAGGACCTGAGTCCAATCCCCAGAATCTATGTAAAACATCCAGGTGTGGTGCACATGTTTGTAATCCCAAAGCTGGGGAGGTAAAGACGGGCAGATCAGGGGACTCATTAGCTATCTAGTCTTACCTACTGGGTGAGCTTTAGGTCAATAAGAGGTCCTGTCTGAAAATAAAAGGGATGGAACTAAAAATGACACCTGAGGCTGACTTCTGGCCTCTGTATGCATGTGGACACATGTGAATACATACCTGGACACACATGTGAACCTGAGTATATGCACGGGAGGGGACAGAGAACAATGGTTGAATACACTTAAAAATCTATTTAGCTATCCAATCGTAGAAAGTTAAAGAGTCATAGGACACTTACATTGCAGAAAAGTACAACCTTATAATAGTGATTAGGGTGGGTCTTTCAGTAAGCCAGAAAATGCAAGGACAATGCAGATACTATTTCATGTCTAAGAACACACGTGGGCATTATATACGGAATATGCAGGAAAGAGTCCGGGAGGGTACACACTAAATTACTCTGCTTTTAGAGAAAGCGGTAGGTTCTGTCAGGGCAGGGGGTGCAGCCCGGGTGAGGTGGGATTTTATCTACACCTCCTAGAGCTGGAAAGTTTTTACATTCAGCACATATCCATTCTCCTGTTACTTATGTAATTCTGAAAACTATTAAAAAACAGAAAATATATAGAAGTCACGCAGTGATAGGGATGGGCATGATCACTAAAAAATAATTTGAAAATCTCTCCAAGTCATACATATGCAGGGCCACCTGTGTTACCTGGAAATGTCTTGGAGTACTGTACAGCTGTAGAGATGCCCCAACCACGGTCCTCCAACTCTCCCATCAGACTTACGGCCCTCTCCAATTGCCTGGACCATTGGCTATAAATTTCACTTAAAAACAAAAAGAAATTTAGCCATTGTCTCCTTGTATCTAGCATTAGTGGAGTTTCTTTAGGTGCAAATAGATTCCATGCTTGGGTCTGAGGACAGTGTGGCTGAAGAAGGCAGGAGGCCTGGTGAGGTCTGGAGCTACTTGGAAACGGAGCAGAATCAAGGCAATGGCCACCTTTAACTCCAGCATGGCAAACTGCTGCCCGATGCAGTTCCTGCAGAGGGAGAGAAAGGGGTTAGTTTCTAGAATAACAAGTCTGGAGTCCAGGGCTGCTTAGCGGTTTCCTCTGATTGACACATTCTCTCCAGGCGGGAGGGAAAGGACTCAAGAAACTCCAGAGGTGAACAGACTTCAGATCTGGGCAAGCTATGACTGGGAAGACTCATGAAGGCCCCTCTCCAGGGTTGCAGAAGCAGTAAACAACTGCTGGGGAGGAGACTGACCAGCTGTGCTGTCTCTCAGACCCTACCAGAGTCCTCTCAGACCAGTACAGATGAGGAGACTGACCAGCTGTGCTGTCTCTCAGACCCTCCCAGAGTCCTCTTAGACAAGTCCAGATGTCCTCAAGTTGTGCAGAGAGCTTCAGAGTTGCAGTTTTCATGAGTGGTTACTTGTGCTGGCTTGGACTTCTTGGTGATGCAGCTTGTTTTGTACAAGATGTCCTGCAAATAGGCTCATGTGTTTGAAGATGATGGAATTGCATGGAAAGGATTAGGAGGCGTGTCTTGTTGAAGGATGTGTGTCTTGGGGGTGGGGAGGGGGTAGGTGGGCTTTGAGGTTTCAAAAGCCCACCCACTTCCAGTTAGCTTTCTCTGCGCTTGGTGCTTGTGGATCAGATGTAAGTTCTCAGCTACGACTCCGGTGCCATGCCTACCTGCCTGCCCACTACCTTGCTCCCCGTCATGACAATCATGGATTCACCCTCGGAATCTGTAAAGCCCCCGGTAAACTCTTTCTTCTATAAATTGCCTTGGTCATGGTGTCTCTTCACAGTAATAGAAAAATAACTCCCAATTGCTTTAGAGACACCCTTGTTCCCATAAGCAGCCCTTCACTCTTGTGAGTAACCCCAACAAAAATTCAGTGGTTCACTAAATTTGACTCTAATATATCATGATCTGTTGGGGGGGTCATCTTTCTGGGGTGAGTAGATGTATTAGTTAGTGTTACTTTTTCCCAGAAAAATTTACAACAAAAGTAAAGCAGAGTCTTCACACCAAATATCATTGACACTTTTAGATTTTTTCTTATGTTGCTCCTTGCAAGAATGTGGATTTGGAGGTTCCAATGTGATGCCCTCCATGAAGAAGGTGGCTGTTGGAGTCACCCACAAGCTGTTTCTCCTACAAGCACTGAGCCTGTGAACGACACTTAAACTGCAGGGCTGTTTTCTGAGGCGTGACTCATGGGATGCGATATTAAGTGGTGCTGTCCTTTGCAAAGAGATAGGTTCTGGGAAGGAATTAGTGGAGCAGAGGGGCTGATGGGTAAGTAAATTTTTTTTTCAAGACAGGGTTTCTCTGTATTGTTTTGGAGGCTGTCCTGGAACTCACTCTGTAGACCAGGCTGGCCTTGAACTCACAGAGATCTGCCTGCCTCTGGTTCCTGAGTGCTGGGATTAAAGGCATGATCTACCAATGCCTGGTCGTAAGTAAACTTTTTGTATATATTTTCAACAACTTCAAGTTGTCCTCACCTTGGGCCACTGGAGAATGGCAGGAAGGCACAGGGATGTCTCTGATCAGAATTCTCCTTAGTGAATCTCAAGGGGTCAAAGACCTGAAATGAGAAGACAATGCTGCCACCATCTTGACAACAATGTGTCTTTTAAGGTGCTACCTAGTGCTGATACATAAACATATGCCACGGAAGTTATTTAAAATGTTTTTCGGGCCACATGTTAAGAAGACAGCATACATTTTAATAATATGTTTATTAAACAAAATAGTCTATCATATACCCAATATAGTATATAGTTAAGGAAATATGTCACTTTTGAGGGGGGTACTGTGTCTTCAAACTCCATGTGGCAATTCCAATTAGCCAAGTTGCTCAGTGTCCACATGCACAACACCTCATCTGGCCCTCCCCTGACTTGTTTGCTAGCCAGTCTAAGAGTGTACCCACTTAGAAGCCAAGCCCAAATAAGATGTAATAGTTCAGCTTCCTATTCTACAGAATAGAACAAAAGTCTTAGTGGTTTTCATAGAAGAAAACACTAGTACTTATGTTTTGAATTTCAAACATATTGAATCCATTCAGGCTTCTTTTTTTGTGGATTTTCTTTTCTTTTTTAATTTAAATTAGAAACAAGCTTCTTTTTTACATGTCAATCCCAGTTCCCTCTCCTTCCCCTCCTCTCCTGCCCCACCATCGACCCCCTATCCCATCCCCTTTAAGCTCCCCAGGGAGGGTGAGGCCTTCCATGGGGGATCCTCAAAGTCTGTCATATCATTTGGAGCATGGCCTAGACCCTTCCCCATGTGTCTAGATGTCTATACATCTCCTTGTCTGTCTAGGTCTTCCTTTCTCTCTTTCTGAGGCTTTTCTGAGCTCTAGACAGTTGACCCACGTGGTTTCTCTCACAGGTTTGGGACAATACAAGACATTGATAGGGATCTGAAGAGTGGCAGCCCAGGGGTTGGGATGTTGACTGTTCATTGGCTCCTCCATGTTGGCTGTCTTAGGTTGGCAATCTCTTTTGCATGGGCTTATTTGATGTTTCCTCCCTAGCTCCCAGCTTTTTTCCCCCACAGTTTATGTAACTCTCCCTTGTGGGGCCTGTCAGGTCTAGAAAAGATAAATGATTCTGAATGATATGCACTATCATTTGCTTCCCTTAACTTCTGCCCATATCTTCACAAGTAGTTCCTTTATGGAGCATTTGAACTGAGCTACTTGAATGTGCCATCCATAGCACCAGCATCCTGATTGCTTCATACAATAAAAGAGAGACTGAGCTGCCCAGCTGGCTCTACTGACCAGCCACAGCCCTGCAGATATCCACTGGGTTTTCGAAAGAGCTTGACAGGTGAGTGACTGGAACAGTCAGTGACAGTTGGGAGCAGATTGTGGGATTAAGATCTTTAGATCGCAATAAAGATAAAGGATATGAGGCGAGGACAAGATTGTTAGTGGGTGAGTTTTACATGGTTCTGACTTTTATGCTTGTTTGCCCAGCATCATTTACTTTCACAGTACAGCCATTGGCATGCTTAGCTGTCAACACAGATCACTCAGCTTGATTCTCTGGAGCATGTCCACAGAAGACAATCTTACCTTTGGGTCTTTCCAGACAGCAGGGTTGTGGTGGAGACCCCAAATGCTGAGAACCACAGTCATTCCTGAAGCAGGAGGGAAACGGAGCAAACCGTTGGCTGCAGTGTGTGTAGGAGGTCTCTTCCTGTAGGGAAGAGCTAGGTCCTGCCGAACTGTGTGCCAGCTCCACCAGGGAAGGGTGCGGGAGAGGATGGGATTGGGTTTGAACTATAGTTTTCAAAGCAATTGTTTACCCACTTTATGATTTTATGCTAAAGACCTGTTGGTATCTGACCAAAGAGCTAAACTGTGCTTGAGTGTTCTGCCTCGTTTGGAATTAGTTACCAGCTAGGCAACACTCCACAGAGACTGTTCTGATCTGCCTTAAAGATCCAGTGGCTAATTTTTCTTGACACTGTTCATCCGTGAAAGGTGGATAATTTGGGCAAATATTCATATAGTTGGTGATTAAAAAAATAAAGGACAAAGGAGAGGGAATTTGAGCAGCATTTTCTTATACAAAATAATTCTGTGGCTGTAACAAAATTACAGCCACAGATTTGCAGGACTTGGCCTCAGCTCTCCTGTTGAGCTGTTGCCACAAAAGCAGACCAGGGAAATGGTATCTCATGTAATCCTACTGCCACCTACATGCCCTGCCAGGAACATCTGACCTCACATATGGGGTCTCTAGCTTTGCTTTGCATCTGTTAACCTTATGTGCATATTGGGGGTTTTCCTAATGGGATTTTGGAGACATCAAAAATATTTAGAAGTGTTTTGTATACTGTAAAGTACTGAACCCATGTCTGTTAAGATCCAACTCCAAGGGGAAAAGGAAACAATGTAGGTGAAGGTTTTACTAAGTATTGTCCCCTTCTGAATTACTGTAGTGACAAGGACTCCCCTTCCCATCTCCCACATTAACACAATGGTGCACGTCTCCTCTAAAGATAACTTGGATCTCAAACTCAGCCTCACAGATATTATCTTAGAGACAATGTCCCACAATGGATGAAATCCTTGTCTGGGATTCTCAAAATAAGACTGGAACCTAGCAGCTCTAACTGGCTATGTGGCTTAGGAAGGTCACTGTGGCTCACATATGGTTGAGGAATTATCCTCCAAGCTTTTAGTAGCTGCCTAACTCCAACTCAGATGTCCCAAGAAGCCCCAAATCCCACTAGTCATCATCACTGTGACCTTCCGGATCTCATGCTTAGGAAAAGAATGTGACCTGCAGGAAGCGAGTGTCCGTCTGGGAGGGTAAGGGGCTTGCTGAGTTCTCTGGAGATGGATGGGATGGGAGGAATCAAGCGGAGTGTCTCCTTGATGCACATCGTGGTGTAGGACATCTCATCTAGTTGGCCCCTGTGGCGACAAAGGAAGGAGGGAAGTGACTTAGACTCCTGGTCCTCTTTGTGTTGACTGTTCTGTTTGATTTCTTTTCCTAGTAGGCATCACTGGGGTATGGGCTTATACAGCACACTATTACAATGTGACCTTTTCTGTTTCCAAAACACTGTGTTCAGAGTTCCCCTGCCCATGAATCAGCACTAGAAAGCTCCAGAAAGAGAGTCTCCAAGTGTCACTGAAGTCCCAAAGGTGGCAGACGCACAGATGACATGTGCCTAACGACAGGATTTCTGAAAAGCGATGCTATGACCATTAGTTCTTCATGTAAAGGAAGAGTGTAGAAGGCACAGCTAAAAACAGAATAAGAGGCTAGAGAAGTTTGAGAGAAAAAATATATAAATATAATTGTTGAAATATTGAAGTACCTTGGAAAACAGAGTGGAGTGCAACTCATCCTAAATAAGGGGAGACTGACTTCAGGTTACATGGAGGGTCTGAAACGTGCTCCCTGGGGTTTGAGAAGCACAGAATCAATCACAAGGGACCCAGAGCAGATGGACTGACAGGGGAGAGAGCTGAATGAGGTAGGGATGCACAGACATGTTGGGGGTGGGTTGTGGTTGGGAGGGGATAGTCAGTGAACTGACCAGGAAGAGGGCGAGCTCCAGACCAGCTAGAGAAACACTGTGTTCAGAGTTCCCTGCCCATGAATCAGCACTAGAAAGCTCCAGAAAGAGTCTCCAAGATACCTGCAGATGTAATGGCCAAGAGAAGAGCAAAGCACAAAGTATTTGCCAAACCCTAGTCATGGCCACGATAGTTCCCTTTCATACAGGAATCATTTCTGATATGGCCAGAGCCTTGAGTAGGGGAGAAGCTGGACAATAAGACAAACCAACAACAAACCCCTCTCACTCTAATGACGTCCAGGCCAAAGAAGGGTCGAGAGAGGTGGAGGGCGAGGTTCCAAGTGGATGAGCATGTGAATGAGGGTTTGCCATTGCCCTGGACTAGACAAGCTAGTTACTGGCTTGAGGTTTAAGTAGATGGGATTCTATGAAACTCCTTAAAATTTTGCCTATGAGATGAAAGAACTCTTCCCATAGAGCAAGTCTGAAGTGAGAACAGGAAAAGAATGAAATAGCTTATCTGTATACCTAGCTATTCAAATGAGATCAAGAAAATGGCTGCATATATTTAGTTATTTTTGCCTAATCACATTTCTCTTTTTCTGATGAATTATTTTAATGCAGGTGTTGGCCATTTTGAAATGTAAAATTTTAATTCTGTATTCTTTCCCCATCAAGGCTAGGAAATAAATGGGCAATTGTGTCTACTCTTGGACTTACATAATTAAGCAAAACAACTACCTATATCATTGCGAACAGAAAGAATTTTGGTTTGTTGCTGTTTTGAAACAGGGTTTCATTATATAGTCCTCTGTTGTGGGATAATCTTTTTGTACACTGTGAAGATGTATTTCTTTCATTGTCTTAATAAAGAGCTAAATGGTCAATAGCTAGGCAGGAAGAAGTTAGGTAGAACTTGGGAACAGGGAGAGAGCTTTGGGATGAAGAAGAGTAGAGTCCCAGAAGACACTGGGAGAAGCAAATGATCATGCTGTGTTGAGGAAAGGTACCAAGTCACGTGGTAGAGTGTAGATAAGAAATATGGGTTAATTTAAGTTGTAAGAGCTAGTTACTAACAAGCCTAAGCTATTGGCTAATTACTATAATTAAAATAAGTCTCTGTGTGGTTATTTAGGAACTGGCTGGCAGGACAGAAAATTCTGCCAACATAGTCCTCAATGGCCTAGAGTTCTCGGAATAGATCAGTCTGGCCTTGAACTTACATAAATCTTCCTGAGCAAACAATTTATTATTATTATTATTAATTTTGGTTTTTTGAGACAGGGTTTTTCTATGTAGCCTTGGCTGTTTTGGAACTCATTTGTAGACCAGGCTGGCTTTGAACTCACAGAGATCCACCTGCCTCTGCCTCCCCACTTCTGGGATTAAAGACATGTGTCACATCTCCAGCAAGTGGAAGATTTTAAACCAACATAATAATGGCCTGGCAAGGAGCCAAAGAAAGAAACTGCTTAAAATTTTCTGGATGTCACATGTAGATTTCATCAATGAAATGTTATAGATTTTTAAATGTGTTCTGGGACTGCAGATTGTTTATCAGTTAAGCATGTTTGCTGCTTTTGCAAAGGATCTGAGTTCAGTTTTCAGCATCTATGTCGGGTGGCTCAGAACCACTCCAGCTCCAGAGGATCTGACACCCTCTTCTGGACTCTATGGCACCTGCACTCATGCTCATATACCCCGACACAGATACTCATATCCACATAATTAAAAAATAATAAATCTTTGAGCTGGGTGGTGGTGGTTTTAATCCCAGGACTCAGGAGGCAGAAGCAGGAGGATCTCTGTGAGTGCTAGGCTAGCCTGGTCTACAGTTCCAGGGCTGTTACACAGATAATCCCTGTTTCAAAAAACAAAACAAAATCTTTGAAAATATGTTCTTTGTGGTATTTTTTCTCTTTCTTTCATTAAAAGAGAGAATAGTTAAGAGATCATCTGGACTTTTTTTTTTTAACCTTGCTAGGACTCAATTATTGTTTTCAAATTTAGACCAATCAAGAATAAGAAAAGTCAACACATGAGTTTTTTTCTTCTTTTCTTTTCTCCTCCCCCTCCTTCTCCTTTTTTTTTTGAGACAGGTTCTCACTATGTAGCTCTGGTTGTCTTGGAACTCACTATGCAGGTCATAGTGGTCTCTCACTCACAAAGATCCACCTGCCCCTGCTGGGAATAAAGGCATGTACCACTGTGCCCAGCCTTATTTGTTTCCCAAGTAACCACAACAGACAAGATGAAGCACTGAATTCATGCTGGAAACAGACATAATAATCTTCCAAGTTTAGTTAGTAAATAGAAATGGATTAGTTAACAAGATGGTAAGATAAGCAGTCCCCCACTTGGATCCTCCCAGCAGCAATGATTCACAGACAAGAGGGCCTTTGTGTGAGACAATGCTTGATTTGAAGATCTATTGTGAAGCTGTAGAATAAAAAGCAAATGGAACAGGTGGAGAGCCTGGAACCACATCTACACGTGTGCTTATGGACAATGAATCTTCAGCAAAGGTGACAAGAACACACAGTGGGAAAAGAATATTCAGTTCAGACTGATGCTGAGACAGCTGATATATACACAACAAGAATAAAATAAGAGTCTTATCCTATATACAAAACTCAACTCAAACTGAATAAAGACTTAAAATACTATCTGGCTGTAAAACTACTAGAGAAACCAATGATGGAGAGATGATTGTTGGCATGGGTCACAGTTGAATTTTCTCTTGGAAGCGCAAACAACAAAAGCAAAACAGTAAGAGTTTACATTAAATGAAAAAAATACCTTATGAGTGGCAAAAGAAATAACAGAGTGAAGTGATGACCTACAAAATGGTGAAAACATTTGCAAACCACTTATGTGATAAGGAATTAGTATTTAAAAATATATAAAGAATTCAAATAACTCATGCAAAGACAATTTATGAAAAAAACTGACCTACAAATACTTGACAGGCCTGTGAAAAAATTCTCAACATTGCAAATAATTAGAGAAATAAAAATTAAAACCAACAATGAGATACCACCTCACATTTGTTAGAGAAAAGGAAGAAAAACAAATATTGGTGAGGATTTGGAGAAAATAGGATCCTTGCACACTGTCAGGGTCAATGTGGATCAATACAGCCAAATGGAAGGCAGCATGGACATTCCTAAAAATTTATAAAAAGAAAATAGGATCCTTGCACACTGTCAGGGTCAATGTGGATCAATACAGCCCCAAATGGAAGGCAGCATGGACATTCCTAAAAATTTATAAAAAGAAGTACCACATGACTCAAAAATTTCATTTGTCAGTGTATATTCAAAGGGAATGAAGTCACTGTATCAATGGCAGCTTTATTCTCTATAGTCCAGATACGGAATCAGCCCGGGTCATTATCTGAAGAGTGGATAAAGAACATGTAGTACATACACACAACACAATGCTATGTATCAGCGAAAGGAAAGTCTTTCATTTGTTAACACATGAATGAACCTGGAGGACATTATGTAAAGCAACATGAGCCAGACACAGGAAGACAAACACCCCATGAACCCACTTACAGGTGACTTTAGGGGGTTGAATTTGTAGAGGCAGAGAACAGAGCAGTGCCAGTCAGGGATGTGGTGATGAGAGGTTCAGAATTCTAGCTAGATGTGGAGGAGCTACATTGTCGTAATTGTTGGCGATTTGTTGTGTATTTGAACTTGCTCAATGAGAATATTTTAGATGTCCTTACCACACAAATAATTACATAGTTAATGAATATGCCCACTGACTTAGTTATTTTAAAATACATACATGGGTCAAAATAGCATACTGTAAACAGTACTCATATATACAAACACACATGCATACTTTTTATCAGTAAAAAGTCATTACTTAACATTACATTTTATTCTATATGGATGAAGGCATTGTGTGTGTGTGTGTGTGTGTGTGTGTGTGTGTGTGTATCTGGGGAGGGTGAATATGCCATGTGGAGGTCAGGTAACTTTTATGGAATCAGTTCTCTCTTTCTGCCTTAAAGTGGATCCTGGGGATTGAATTTAGACCAGGCTTCCATGACTGAGTCATCTTGCTGGCCCTCTTCCCCTAGATTTTTTAAAAATGTGAATACTGGGGATCAAACTCTGGTCCTCATCCTTGTGCTCCAAGCACTTTCCTGGCTGAGCCCTCTTCTCAGCCCTTAGATGAAGCTTCGAACTTGTGGTAGGAAATGACTGTTAGTTCCTTATAAAATGAGATCTCTACTGCCTTTAGAACTTCAGTTTTTGTTTCCTGAGCTGACCTTTGCTTATGAAATGGGGCTTGGTTGTCTTTTAGCATTTTTATGCTTCTGTCCTTTTGACTAGAGCATTAGGCAAGGCTTATCAGGGATACATTGTTTCTTTGTAAATAACATGTCTGAGGGACTTGTTCATTATCTAGAGCTTATTAACAGCAAGATTCATTAAGAAAGTTGAGACTTTCTCCTGGTTTGCTCTCCTTGTTCCAGAAGTGTCAGATCCTCAAGGGGGTGGTGTCTCACTAAACCCCCATGGCCAGGGTGGGAATCTGTCTTCTAAATCTGGTGGTCAGAAAATATCTCTGTCATTGCCCTTACCATGAGCACTTTAATTTGCAGTGTGACGGTCTCTCTCTTACCTTAGACTGCAGATCATTGGAGACAGGGTCTGTACAAAATCTTGACCAGCATATTAGTGCCTCAATTCTTAAACTGTCCTCAGCCTACATCTAACTCAGCAACAGCATGCACTATTTAATATGTTCAAAGGCCAAAGGCCACCCTATCCTGAAGTATGACAGCAGTGACCAGACAATCAGCTAGGGTGCTACAGTGAAGGCAATGGTGCAGCTACTCCTTCAGCCTTCTCAGCACAGGAGGGCCCTGGAATCTTGTCTTTAAAGCTCTACATGCAAGCCTAAGGTCTGTTCTTCCCTTCAAATGTGCCAGAGCTTGGGCAAAAGAAACAAATGCAACGTGACTTCTGGATAGTGAACTTCTTTTGCAGAAGACAAACTTAACTCTGGGCTCTCTTCAGAAAGAAGAGACAAGGAGCCTGCTTCATATGCATATGCTTTGGCATAGACATACCTTGGGACACTGTGGTCACTGAGGCACCAGGGTAAGGAATAAGCAAAATCTCAAGAAGGGAGCTAGGATGATATACTGAGGGCTTCAGATCTTACCAGGTGATGGAGGAACCATCTCCCAGGATGCTCCTGATCTCTGTCCGGCATCTGTCTTGATGCTCAGGGTTCAGAGCCAGGCAGTAGAGGAGCCAGGAGATGCTGGCTGCAGAGGCGTCATGTCCTGCCCACATGAAGGTGTTCACCTCAGACCTCAGGTCCGCATCTGAGAAGGCTCTTTCATCTTCAGCCTACAACAAACAGGCAGCAGAGATTGCTGAATGAAATGCCACTTCACAGATGTTAGGAGATGCCATCAAAATGATAGTTTTACAGAAATGCTAGAGTTTCAAATAAAGGTTTCAATTTTAGCTCATGTTAAATATTACAATGAGTCCCACTTTGCCCAGAGCACAAAGGAGAACCAATGTCACAAAAGAAAAGCAGGCTTTGCATAAGCATTTGGAAAATTTCTTTGCTCTTCCAGTTGTATCTAATTTCTCAACATGTCCTTTTTAAAGTGCTCATCCATGCTTCCCGTTTTCTGTGAGTCTCTAAACTGGTATCTGTATACCTTCCAAATCACGGCAAACATGTAATTCAGTCTTCGCTGACTCCTGGTGAGTGACAGGTCTCAGTCTTTCCTCCAGACTGCACCAAGAGCCATCTCCCACAGCGGTCTGGAGAGGTTTGCTTGTGTCTTCCCATCCTACTCCACTTGCCCATCCACCCTCCCACATGGTCAGTAGCTGTGTGAGCACACCTAGGCTTTCCGTGCATTTACCTGGGCAGAAAGGACAATATCCAGAAAATCCTGAAACTTCTGAGTGTCATCCTGCTTTACCCCATCCTTGAGGAGTTTCTTTCTGTCCTGGATTATCTTTTCTGCATAGAATAAAAGGTCTTCATTACCGAAGGGGCAGCTAAGTTAATCAGAGCCAAACACATAAATCAAGGCAGAGCCCACACTAAGTGCCATGCCTTATCTGTTTTCAGATGCCAGAGTGGGTATATTATATCTAAATACATTGAACTTATAGACTGTTTTATTTTCCATTAACAGACAACTTTTGATAAGAGTTTTAAACAGAAGAGATAAAAATTATTTTCTATCAGTAGGCAAGCAATATAGTCAAGATGATTGCAAAGTTAGATGCAAGTGGCCAATCATTGCTTTCCTCCTCAGTCTAGAATCTTGTTTCCATAGAAATTATGCAAGTGAAATAGCCAGCAGAGAAAGTACCTAACATACATAGCTATAGGGGCCAAAAACAAGAAAGAAAACAGACAAAAACAGAGCACGGGACAGGTAGAATATGTACAAGCACCTTCTACAGATATTAGTTTGTTTTTGGTCTTAATTGGGGTCAATTTTGTTATTTGAACTTACCATTTCATATAAATTTTAAATGAATTTGGATGGAAGTAAGTAGAGTAGTATGTTTTCAAAAACATTTTCTGTACATCAAGAGTTTAGATTCTCACCCATGCTGGTGGAAGCAAAACTAATTAAACTCAGCAAGTTATACAAAAAAGAAACCCTGGAAGCGGGAGGGAAAGTAATTGGAGAGAAGGGCTTCAGCAAGAGAGGGAGGATGAGAGAAAGTAATGTGGGAGTGACCCTCATCAAGCTGTGTACATTTATGAAACTGTCAACAAAGGTAATGTTGGGGCTGGACGAATAGCCCAGTCATTAAGAACACTGGTTTCTCTTCCGGAGCACCCAGGCTGTATTCCCAACATTCACATGGCAAAATTCCAGGCTGTCCTGGAACTCACCATGTGGATCAGGCTGGCCTCAAACTCACAGAGATCACCCACCTCAAACTCTTGAGTGTTAAGATTAAAGGTGAGCACTACCATATCCAGATTTTGGGTGTCTTTTAAACATATACCAACATCTATTTTTTCCTCTATGTCTATTCTGTGCAAGCATTTTAGCTTGCAATTATTACTTAATTTACTGCAAAGAAGGCCACATGCCACATACATTTTGAAGTCTTAAATTCTCCCTTGTTATACATGTATTTGTAATAATTGTATATAATAAAATTGTATAATTTATGATGGTGAGGGTATAAACTTATCTTAAAGGAGTGAAATTGTAATTATTTGGGCAGTGTCCATATTAAAGTTCCATTAAGAACAAGGATTCTTTTCCTGCTTACTGTGAGATTTATTCTACACATAAGATAGGCATGATGGTGCATGGATTTGGGTAACCCACACTTAATACAGGCCCATGTTTTTACCTGTGCATTGCTGTATCACTTTGCCTAACTCCTGGAAGCAGTGACCCTTAGGGCTGAATTTGAAAATTATGTCATGATGATGCCAGAAATTGTACAAGTGGGAAGATATGATTTCACCAAGTTCAAATGTTGCCTTCATGTAAGGCTCATAGGTGCTAGAAGACAAAGTTGGAACAATGGGTTAATAATTGACTTAGATCACAGTGAACTCATTCACTGACCCATCACTGACCTGTTTATCTGGCAGTTGGTCTCCTGGCCAAAAGCACATTTCATGATTATATCCAGGGCCATCAAGTTGATGTGTTCAAAAACCTCCATGGTTGTTTCCTGCGCACTCCAAATCTTCTCCCATTTATCCTGGCAGAGGAGGCCAAGATCAATATCATCACCATCCTCAAACGGTCTTTATTTTCCTACTTTCCCCTAACCCTGCCCTCATCATCTCAGGGACAAAACCCTGACCTTACCAAAGGCCAGGAGTAAATAACCCCTGTGTTTATTTTGGGCGTGAGGAAGGGAAGCATGCACTAAATGAGTGAGAACGAGCGTGATTCACACTTCCCATCTGGCAAATGGTCTTTCAGTGGTTGTCACGGCTCTGTGCCAAACAACACAGAGTTCCACACCACCTAATTAAGAGTTCCTCCCCGGGGCTTCCTCCTCCTTCAGGCCCCAACTTGATTGATACCCCATGACAAATCTCAACCACCACATGCACTCTGAAAATAAACTCAAAACATTTTTCAAAAATGTCTTAGATTCAACAATCAACACTAATAGACAAACTAGTGTGAAGGGGGATATCTGGGGCCCTAATCCTAGATGAAGAGATACCGGCAAGTAATGATGAGAGGGGGAGAATTAGTCTTCCCCAGGGATGAGCCCTCTAGAGGGTTATTCAATACCAAGTGGTTGGTCCTGAAAACATATACATACAAACAACACTAAAAGATTGCATTTATATTTGAGCATTTATATGTACATGTAACAATGATTATTAAAGAAAAAGAGGTCATAAACTTAGGAGGGAACATGGGAGAAACATGAAAGGGGTTGGTGGGAGGAGAAGAAGGGGGAATGACTAATTACATTTAATTAAAAATGCAAATTAGCCAGGCAGTGATGGCACAGGCCTTTAATCCCTGGGAGGCAGAGGCAGGAGGATTTCTGAGTTTGAGGTCAGTGTGAGCTCCTGGTCTATGGATTGAGTTCCAGGACAGCCGGGCTACACAGAGAAACCCTGTCTTGAAAAACAAAACAAATTGCAAATAAAAATAATAAAAAAGTCATTTCAGAGTCAAACACTGGAGACAGTAAGAGGCCTGGAAGAGTAGTTTCTGCAGGGAGTTGTCCCTAGCTCCCCAGAGATAGAGGCCTGCTCACTCTGCCTGAAATGTGTTTTCTGACTGCTAAGTTGCCAAAACGTGCCCGCCCCAGTTATAAATGTATTTATCACGACAAGTACTTTTTGTGTAAAATGCAAATAAATGGAAATATCTAATTTCAGTTCAATCTATGTTTGTTGAGCATCTCCAGGTGTCACCTTGTGCTGAATGCTGGGTACCTACAGGTGACAAACTAGGTACTGAAATGTTGGAGACTGAATAAAAAGCAGAACTTGAAGGCCTTTCACCAAAGTGTCTATTATTTGGCTTACAGCCCTTTAAGGAATTAATTTTTTGATAGCCACATATTTGTTGTACCTATTAATAAAATTCAGTGTGATATTTCAACTCAGGCATTTGAGGAGAGCTGATGAGCCGTGGGATAGGTTTGGAAGAAATGTGAGGAGGGGCAAGCCTCGGAGCTTGAGATGCTCTGGAAGTGTGCAGCAGGAGGAAGTGGGAGGGGAACGCAGAGAAACCCAGGCCTGAGAAATGCAGAGGATAGAAATGGCTCCTAGAGATGCAGGGGCTAAACCAGTCACTGGTGGAGCTGACTGCGCCAGACACCGAGCAGCTCAGAGGAGGATGCTCTCCACCGACCCCCTTCCCGGAGCCTGTATCTTGAGAACCTCCACTGATGTCCCACTCCACTCCCACAGAAGTTTGGGAGTGCCCAGCCACAAGCTGTTCCCTGCGGACAGAGTGAGTAGGGCCTGCTGGTAAGGAGGAAAATTTGGCTTTGTGGTATCGGAAGTTTATGAAGAAACTGTATTAATCATTTGTCTTCTTTTCAAATAAACACATTAAAAAAGTGAAAACCTCTACACCAATATTGCTTTTGATAAAACTCATCTCTAAGTCAGAAGCCACCCCAATAGGGATGCCCACTGCAGCAATCCCTGCATATTTGGAAGGTGCCACTCACCTCAAATCCGCCACCACCCACAAGAGGTGACAGAGGCATTGAACCTCTGCTCAGTTCTAAATGCCCATCAGATGAGTTCACAAGCTTAAAACCTTGTCTCACATCACTCTGCCTAGGAGTTTCTTGTTCTTAATATTGGCGTATGCAAATCAACGTATATGGTGGTAAATTTGAGACACCTCTGAAATCGGAACCGGTTAGCTGCTCTTGGCTTCCTTGCTTGTCTCCCACAGCACCTGCCACCTGAGTCTTACTGCCATAGAACGTGAGACAACTGAAAATGGAGGACCAGCTCTTCATTTTTAATCACCTGAAGAATTCAGGAAAGGCTTACATAGACATCACTACTCAGTGGGTACTTGTATTCTGATTAATTTCTAGAAATCAGGCTTGATTTTTCTCAACCCACTGCATAAATGTCTGATCTAACGTTTCACTTACCAGCATCGTGTTCACAGAGTGGGCCATCATGTCCACACAAGTTTTCAGGATATTGTGATGGAATGCAGGAGTTAGGAGGCAGCGGTGTTGGAACCACCTGGGTCCATCTAGGTTCAGGAGTCCTCTTCCTTGAGAAACAAAATGCACAGAACTGCATGCATTTTACTAGATGATGAAAGACGAGGGCCACGGCCAGCTTCACGTGACTGACTCATGAGCAGCCACGAAGCAGCAGTGAGCATCAAAGAGCTGACAGATGAAGTCAGTGTCAGCTCAAATACTCACACCCGGAGGGGATACATTTAACACAGAGAAAGTGTTCCTCAATCTGGAAAACTCTGATACCTTGTGAGGCATAGTTTCTCAGCAATGGAGTGTGGGACTTGTGCTGTGCTGATTCAGTGAGGGCGCACACACACACACACACACACACACACACACACACACACACACACACACAGAGCACTCAGCCTCTTTAGCTCATGGAGAAACATCCACCTCCTCTTTGCTGCAGACCAATCTATAAACATTACTGTGAACACAGACTCATTAGAAACAGGGCAAGGATGTCCATGTAATCCCAGATACCCTCACCTCCAGCTCCAGACAAGTGGAAACACTTATTAAGGCTGATACTTCACTATCTTGTATTGACGAATATGCTGGCATTAAGGTTTGGCTTTCAGAGGCTGGAGAGATGGCCAGTGGTTGTCAATATTTGCTGCTCCTGCAGAGGACTGGAGTTCAGCTCCCAGCACCCAAACTTCAAACCATCTGCAACTCCAGATCTGAGAACCCAACCCTCTGTTCTGGCATCCGTGGACAATAACACACATGTGCACATACACACACACATACACACATAAAAACACATAAAGAAAAGTAAAATAAATCTTACAATAAATTTGGCTTTTGAACAACTTTAAATTTGAGTAACACCCTTTAATATATTTTTAACGACATTTTTCATACAATATATTTTGACCACATTCTTTCACTTCCCCAAACTTCTCCTAGATTCTCCCCATCTCCCTGACCACCTGACTTCATGTTTTCTCTCTTTCTCAAAAAACAAAAGCAACAAAAAAGAAAATCAAAACAGACAAACAAAATAAGTAAGACATTGTTTTGTGTTGGTCGACTCCTCCTGGGCATGGAACCTGCCCAGAATGTGGTTGATACACACAGGGCCACTACATTTGGAGAAAACGGATTTTCCCTTTCTCATCAGGTAATAATTGAAAATTTCTTGGTTAGGGATGGGACTTGGTGTTTATTTCCTGTTCTCAGTGCTGGGAGTTTGTGAATGACATTCCTTTTTGAGTGCTTACAAATTGCCAGGTTCTTGATGTCGGGTTTGCTTCTCTTAGAACTCTGGCCATTGCATAAAGCTTTAGGAATACAACATTCGTCTCTCTCAGCAGTGACAACACTATCAGGCTCATTTCAAAGATGAGGAAAATGAGTCCTAGAGAGATTAAATTATGTCCTTAAGATCATGATCACATAGCCTATTGGAGTGAGCAGTAGCATGCCAACCTAAGGGACTCTGAATCCAAAGGCTATCTTCTTTCATTTAATTCCTCCTGGTCTAAAATAAACACTAACTATATGAGAAAGCAGCTTAATCCATCTTCTCCCAGTATAGAGCCAAACTTCACACCAGAGAAAATTTTTACTGAGAGGCATATAAAAGTAAGACAACTCTGAAAAGAAAGGGAAATACAAGAAAACAAGAGAGGTGAAAGGATTAAAAGCCTTCTGAAGTGAAGCTAAGATGCTGAAAACTTCCCATACATTTTCCTTTGAAAATGGGACCTTGAGGAGAGAAATGATCAAGGGTGCTCTGTGACATACATTCTGCTGGTTGACCTTTGAGTTCCTCTTTGACCCCCTCCGAGGTGGCTCTCCTCATAGTTCTTGCTCTTTAGAATGTTGTGTGTTCATGTTCACTGTTTGCTTTGTTGTTAAACTGAGATAGGGACTCCCACTAGCTTGGAACTCACCAAATGGGTTAGGCTGGCTGGGTAGCCTGGAGCCTGCCTGTTCTGTTTTCCCTGTGTTGGGATTACAGGTTCACACCATCTTGTCCCCCTTTAGATGTGGGTTGAATTTAGGTCTCCAGATTCTATTTTTAAATATTAAGAACGATACTATTATATGAGAATACAAAACACTGATTTTCCTTGTGGGATTTTCATATTTACGTGTCGTTATATTTTGTTCTCACTCATTTCCTTCTCCCTCTGCCCCCACCCCAATCCCTTGTGTCCCCTGCATCCCTCTAGCTTGTTCCCTTCCTTCTCCTGGATGGTTCCCCACTCTGCACTCATGTTGTGTGCATTTGATGTCCCTTTCTTGATGCTTTTGAGTTCAGACTTGAGTCTCTTTGGAATGCTCTGCCATGCAAAGTGACTTGGAGTGAGAGTGAGTGACACATACATACCAATGCATGGAGTCATGAACTGGTGCACATACATACCAATGCATGGAGTCATGAACTGGTGCACATACATACCAATGCATGGAGTCATGAACTGGTGCACATACATACCAATGCATGGAGTCATGAACTGGTGCACATACATACCAATGCATGGAGTCATGAACTGGTGCACATACATACCAATGCATGGAGTCATGAACTGGTGCACATACTGCGCCTTCGGGTCTGCAGAGTCAAGAAAAGGCAGGGTTAGGGAAAACACTCATGACAAGTTCAAGTAGGGGAAGGCTTTCTTCACTTGCCTGCACTCAGTGCATACAGTGGACAAGAGGGAATCCCGAGTCATTTTCTACAGTCTTGGAGGTTTGGAAAACCTGAGTTTCCAGTCCCAGAGAAGAACCAGTCCCAGGACCTAAGTTCATATCCTCCCTTGGTTTCTATTTCCCTCAACAGTGCAGGCTTGGGAGTGGACAAGTTTCCAGAATGGAGGTTGGGACATGTCTACTTGTTGGAAAATATCAGACAGCAAGGCACAAAGGACTCTTGGTGTGCTTGTGACTCTAAGTAAATGTATTTTTTTTTCTGAAGAGGTGAACTGTAGACAGATTGGAGCAGAGGGACAGAGAAATGAGAAGATTTTCAGAGAAAGGTCTGTTTTTCTTAGGTTTTGGTTAAGAGTGAGGAATGTGAAACACGGGAAAGATCCAAATGTGAGATCTTCACAAAGTTGGCAGAGCTCAAACTGGCCATTGTAGTCTTGTGCTAAGCATAATAGGAATCTTGTAGATGGCTTGGGTGGGTGGGAGGAGAGACCTATGCTCTACAAAGGAACAGAACGGTTTGGACCATAACCAAGAGTTTGAACTGGTGAGTGAAGGCTCCATCACTTTAGGTTCTGTTCAGACCTCTGGAGCTAGACTTCTGATTTCCCCTGCAGACGTTCTCATAATGAAATGCATGTGTGAGACAGTGTCGTTGACTCAAAAGTCCCCAAACTAAGGAGGCAAAGGAAAGCCTTTAACCAGGCTGGTGGTGGCCCCTGGGAATTATGGGGTCCTGGAGTCAAGGAACTGGGGGTCACCTAGGAAGCCCCTTAACCTGGGCAAATCTGTCCCCTCTCCATAATTGCTCAATATCTCTTCCAGGTCTGGGGCAAATCTTTGCTTCAAATTAGGCCTGTGAATCATGTGCAACTCAGTCCTGGAGAAATAGGACTCCAAGTTTTGTCTCATTTCTTACCTGTTCTGCTCAGAAATATCTTTGCATAGTCTGGGTCATAGATGTAGAAAAATGCCCGGAATGGCCCTATCCAACATGGGAAGGCACAAGGGTACTTCTTGACAATCTCATCAAGTTTCTCCATTTTATCATCCTGAAGAAACTAAAAAAGGGCAGGAAATTACAGAGTCAGTCAGGTTGGCACTGCCTTGGCACAGACACAGGTGAGTTCAGAGCCGCCACAGGGCTATGCAGCAGAGGGCTCTGGCTCCTTTATCTTTTTTATGTAGGAGAGGTGACTGTTCCTTCTCTAAGATCTCTAAGCTTGGGGATAGTGTCCTGAGCAAGGACATTAATAAACATATGTTTCACCGTTGGACCAAAGGTGAACTAAGTCTCACTCGCCCATTTGAGGACATCACAGACCTAGAACTGGGGCTGGGAGGCTGCAGATTTTGTTTTCCTATGCTGGAATCTACTTGAGGCTTCTTGTTGGTAACCTGAACACAACGACTGGCTAGCTCACCCTTCCTTTCCCCTTTCCTGTTCTCTAACTATTGATCAGCAATTCTTTCTCATGACTTAACAACAAACACTTCTCTCTACAACCCTGCCAACTCCTTCTACAAAAATATCCAGCTCCTCAGACATAATAGCAGAACACTTCTTTCTACAAGTCCCTGGAATTTGGAACAAGCATAGAGACAAAACTCTCAGTTCCCAGGACTTTTTTTTTTCCTGTTTTGGAGACGGAATTTCTTAATGTAACCCAGGCTAATCTAGAAATTACATCAACTCTTCTTCGGGCTCCTGAGTGTAGGAATATAGGTGTGAGCTATCATGCACAGCTAGCTTCCAGCATTTATAATGCAAACTACAAAGTACAAATGCCACTGCCAGGGAGGAAACTTTGCTTCTCTCTGTTTTCTTTCTCATCTCTCTCTCTGTGTTATATACATGCATGTGTACATGCATGTTTGAATGTGTGTGGGCACACCTGTGTATGCAGGTGCTCATCATATGTGTGCATAGACATGTGGAGGTCTCAGGTCAATGTTGGAACGCATCCTCAAAATCACTCTTCCATTTATTCTTTAGTTTTTAAAGATGTATTTGCACAGATACCTGCTTTGTCTGTCTGTATGTGTACCACATGCATTCCTGGTGCCCGCAGGATCCAGAAGAGGGCATTGGATCCTTGGAACAACAATTACAGATGGCTGTGAGACACCAGAGGGGTGCTGGGAATTGAATCTTGGTCCTCTGCCAGAGCAACAAGTGGTCTAAACCTCTGAGCCATCTCTCCATCTCCTTTAGTCTTATTCTTTGAGGGAAGGTCTCTAAACAAACCCAGAGTTCACTGCCCACCTGGGATTTATGTAGGTTCTGAGTCTAGTCCTGGGATTTATGTAGGCTCTGAATCTAGTCCTCTTACTTTCAAGGCAAGTGCTTGACCCATTGAGCCATCTCCCTTACCCAAACCTTTCATGTTTAGGACAGATTGCTAGTGGCTTAAGCAGTCCTTATAAATAACTGAAAATAAGATTTCCTTACATCTACCTATGGTGTATGTGTGTGTTGTGATGCCTACACATGGGTACCCCCGCTTTTGAGAAAATGTAAGACTGTTGAAATTCTTCCTTGTGTGACTTCACATCACGGGATCGTTCTTATCCTCATAAGAGATACAAAGCCACTGTCCAAATCTGTTTATCAGTCAGCTACTCATCCATGAATTGTTCACTGGATAGTTTAGATCCTCTAAAAGGTCAAGATCCTGAAATGAAATCTAGGTCCTGAAATGATGTGGTGTCTGAATCATCAAACCACTGTGAGGTTTTCTAACAGTGGAAATACGTATTCATTTGTAAACAATAAGCATTTATGGAGGGTTTGTTACATCCTAGGTGATGAATATTCAGAAGCATCTTAAAGGAGGAATTAATTTCAGCTTACAGTTTCAAGGGACACAAATCATCACAGCAGGGAAGGCATGACATTGTGCTTCACTGTTCGATGGCAGGAGCTTGTGGATTGTTCCTATCATGGCAAGCCAAGGAGCAGGACCAGAGCAGGTCTGGGATATGAGTCTCAAAGGTCCTCCGGTGACCCATGTCTGCTAGCCAACCTCTCCAGACTGCTATTGGCTGGGTATTAGGCGCTTCAACAGCCTTACATTTTCTCAAAAGCGGGGGTACCCATGTGTAGGCATCACAACCACACACACATACACCATAGGTAGATATAAGGAAATCTTATTTTCCTTACATGGAGCATATGGAGACATTTCAGATCTAAACCATAACGTGAAGCTAACACAGGTTCTGATTGATTCTGGCGTGGTTATAGTGGAACTTAAAGCCTCATTTCATTAAGTGCATGGCATGTTTTCAGTTTTTTCAAACACCAAACAAGTTTATCTCTTGAACAAACCAATAATATGTTATATTACATGTAAATGAGCTAAAGCTTTCAACCAAAAGACAAACATTGTCAGAGTGCACAAAAAACTATATTACACGTTGACAGAATTCAACTTTTAAAAGGCCCTACATGGCTTGAAAAAGTCTAACATATTCATATTACTGGAGAAAGCTAATGTAGCATCACTAATGTGAGATAAGGCAGACTTTAAGGCAAGGATTCTTGCTCAATAAGAAGGGACATTTCATAATAATGAGATTAGTCCTCTAGTAAGATAGAATAGTTAAAAGTTTGTATGCACACTATATAACAGCTTGAGACCTGATAAAACAAGAACATATGTAGGATAAAGCCCAAAGAAGGTGAACATATATAAGATAAAGCCTCGTGAACTTCACAGGTCTATCTGCAACCAGGCAATCACAGAAACCGAGTGTAGCTATTTAGAACATTTACAGCAATTCAACATGTTGTTATTTCTTGAAGATTACAGTGAAAGTAAACATTCACAACAGAGTGGAGATAAGCTATTTCACCACTTTTTTTTTGAGATTTACCTCTTTAACACTTCACTCCCAGTAGCTGGTAGAACAGATGTGTGGGACAATTTTTAGGGCTTTCTAACTTAAGTTGAGGACTTCTTAATTAAAGCTCTAAAAGTGTGAAGTTGAAAAATGAACTCTAAAGAGAGACAGAATAAGCAGAAGTTGAAGACTGAGAAGGTTAGGAAAAGTGAATTAGGTTAAATGAAAAAAGCTCCCAGGCAGAACATTAGCTTAAAGAAGAGTCAGGCTAAAGGAGTGGGTGGTTGAATCTAAGGTCTCTCTCTCCTCATGCAGCACCTACTTCAGTCCTGGAACACAAACTGAACCAGAGAAACTTTGAGGTTTGAAGAAATGAGGCATTGTGGAAGTTAAGAGAGAGACACTGAACTACAACAGGGGCCTAGGGAAAGGTTGTATAAAAAATGGGATGTCCTACCTGTCCTCCTCCTTACTCCCAGAATGTCAAGTCATGAGGCAGCCTCCCATGTAGAAGAAAGGAATATACCTCTCTACATAACTGTAAATGATATAGATAGGTAGATATGATGGTTCTGATACTTCAGTGGTGGTTCTCACTCATCTCTCTTCAGGAGAGTTCTCTATGAGTGCAAGACTTCCAAACCTCTGTAGGGTCTCACAGCATAGGAAACTACAGCCTCAAACCACGTGGCATTTGAGGACAGCCTCTACCATGGAAAATATAAAGCTAACTGCATTGTGGTAGCCATCAAGATGACCTACCTCTAAGATCCCAGCCTCTGGGCTGTCCTCTCCACAGTGCACCAGTATTTGTTGATGTGACCAATTACATACAGTAGAAGTTTCAACTAGGTTTAAAAATCTTGTTGCCTCCTTCTTGACTTTTCCATCTTGATCTCTCCTCTCTTGTCCCAGGGGAATCAAGCTGTCTTGTTGACAGCAGGATGGCTAACTTTTTCAGATTCTTTGGGATAGAAGGATTCCCAGGATGTGGGGCTTTTGGTGCTAAAACCAAGAAACAACCCAGCATCATGGGACAAATGTATACTCTAGCTGTGAGTAGCCCTATAAAAAGAGCCATTACTGAGGACCAAAGGCTGCCAAGACCTGCCAATAACCGTGGGAGTGAACTTGGAGATGGATCCTGTCCTGTCAATCCTTTGGATGATCAAAGCCCTCACCATCTGCATACAACCTTGCTAGAGACGGGGAGTCGGAATCTTCCAGCTATTGGAAGCCATTACTGAGTCCCCAACACTTAAATAAACTGCATGAGATAATACCTGCTGTTTCAAGTTGCTAAGTTTGAGAGAAATTTGTTAGGCAGCAAAAGACAAGAATACACAAAGAGAAAGGAAACAAAAATATGCAGGACTTATGAAAAAATTTATAGAAAACCACAACTAACACATCAGAGGAGATATGATGTAGCATTTTATGAAAAAAGTTAGAACTGTATAATAAAGAAGGGTGTATTTAATTACTATGACAATGATCCTAATTTGCTAATGCCTACTGTATTCATGTCCTCTTCCACCCTGACCAAGTACTTGGTTATATGGCTGGCTCTGATAAATCAATGCAAGTGCAGCAAACATGGCTGAGAGGGTTAAAAACTACGTACAAGGTCATATTTGTCTTCTTGCTAACTGGGGACCTTGACACCAGGTAAGCAGGGTCAGGCTTGCCAGCTAGCCAGCTGAAAGTAGTAGGAAGAAGAGACCAAGGCATTTAGAATAACAGCCATCATTTATCTAACCTGCTGTGAATTGTGGTGTATTAGTCAGTTTAGCCAGTCAGCCAGACCTTGATTCACCTAGAAAAACTCTATAACCTTTCTCAGCTCAAATTGCTAAGCCAAAGACTACTGAGTTTAAGAAATGGCTGTTGTCAATGGTGGTAGTGGTAGTGGTGGTGGTGGTGGTGGTGAATGCCTTTAATCCTAGCACTTGGGAGGCAGAGGCAGCTGATTCTCTGAGTTCAAGGCCAGCCTCATGTACAGAATAAGTTCCAGGATGACCAAAGCTTCATAGAGAAACCCTGCCTCAGGCAGAAAAAAAACAAGAAAAGAAAAGGTTATTGTTAAAGTTCAGTGTTTAGTGTACTAGAAGGTAATTGGCGAAAGAACAAATGGAGACTAAGGCAGAACTCAGAGATTAAAAACACTTCTCAGATGGCTCAGTAGTTAAGAACATGTGCCGTTAAAGCAGAGGGCTGAGTGGGTTCCTGGAACCCACTTGGCAGTTCAAAACCATCCTTAACTCTAGTTCCAGGAGATCTGATGTCCTTTGCGGGTACAGGGCACATATATGGTGTACATACATACATGCAGGCAAAACACTCATACACATACAATAAAACAAATAAATCTAAAAAAATTCCAATGATTCATCTTCTGAGCATATGCCCCAAATAAATAATTACTATTTCGTTAAGACATCTCACTTTTATGTTCACTGTAGCATTATTTTTAATGGCCCAGATTTGGAGTCAGCCTAAGTGTATACTTCTGGACGAATGGAAGGAGAACATGTAGTCACTAAGCATGATAGCTCATGCTATTACAGCATTTGGGAGGCTGAAGTAGAAGGATCACTGTAAGTTTGAAGACAGCCTGAGCTACATAGTGAGTTCCAGGACAGCCTGGACTATAGTGATTGACTCTGTACACCCCAAACCCCAAATCCAAACTCCCAAACAATCAAAATAAATTAACAAAGAGAAGAGAGGAAAAAATAAAGTGTGGTAAATGCACGTCTGGGAGTGTACCTGAAGGACCCCGAGTATCACATAGGACATGGGACATGGGACTTGGGACATGGGACATGGGACATGGGACATGGGACATGGGACTTGGGGCATGGTAGAGATATAGTCCAGGAAGCAGAGGAGAAAAAAAGCCAGGGCACCCTTTGCAGCCCACCCATTCCTGGAGAGTTTGTGCAGTCCCTTGGCAGCAGTTGCTGGGGGTGGGGGGGCACCGTCATCCCTTCCAGGATTTTCAATTTCCATTTGCTACTCAAGTCTGTACCTCAAGTGGATCCTCAGGGCAAAGGACCCACCTGCTTTTTGTAGCCCTAGTACTTAGCACACAACTGCTACTCCCAGCGATTTAAAAAAAATTAAAGACTCTGGGTTGGGAGTGGATTTGGAAAACAGGAGAAACCGAACAAGTGATGATTTTCCTGTACTCAACAAATCTTCCTCACCCAGAATCCTCAGAGCAGTGGGAATGGGCCGCTTCCGGCTTTACAGGAATCTTAGACAAGACAGTTAATTGTTTATTTATTTTTTGGTCAGAATACCAAGGGTGCCAATTATTGCATTCGATTTTGCACATTTTCTATAACTAATAAGTATGACTTAGACGAACATACTGAGCTTTACACAATTCACGTGGAAGATATGCCTGGGCGACTGGAGACTGAATTGACACCTAGCGTTCTTATATATTCAGGCTTCCCAAATAACCCCCCTCTCTAGCGACCCTCCCCCAAGGGCGTGAGAGAGACTCCAGTATTGCAGAGGAGCCGAGAGGACATCCCACCCCGCTCCCAACCAGGGGCTGGGAAGTCCAAGAATAACCCAGAGCGGCAAGGGAGGGAAGGAAAGAGCCCCTAAGTTACAGCCTTCCTCGGCAGCATCCTGCGGTGCCCCTCCCTCCATCTACCTTCTGGTGTCCGAGGAGCCAGTGGGCGGGAGGCCCCGGGAAGGGGCGCAGGTCACGCAGCAAACGCTGTCTCCGCAGGTAGAGCTTGATGGCCTGCATCAGCCCCAGCGCCAGGCAGAACACCAAAGCCAGGTGCAAGGGCCGCGCCCAGCGCGTCTCCAACCAAGAGGCCTCCATCACTCTGAGCTCTCTCCCGGTTGCATGGGCGGTGGGTGGGTGGAGAATACGGTGGTGGTGATGGGAAGCCAGTAGCTTTCTCCAGCCAGGAGCAGGCGAGCAGGGATCGCCCAGCCCCCTCCCCAGCGAGCCCTTGGTAGAGCAGAGGTGGGGGAGGGGCAGCTCCTGCCCGGGAAGAAGAGACGGGCCCTCCGGGGGTAAACCCTTCATCCGCTCATTGGTGCACGCCAGGATTCAGGCAGACTTTTTTTTGTACGTGTCTTATTTTAAGTGTGACACTTTCCAGTCGCGGAAGATCTGAATTAGACTTTGAAATAATTGGTCCTCTTCCTTGTCACGAACAAAAATAAACTGCTATGCAAAGGGACCTGCTTTCTCACTCTGGAATTCTGTGAGCGGCCACAGGGGCTAGGCGGTGGCTGAGGAGGGTACGGGTATTATACACGTGCGGCATGGGCTGCTGAACTGTGCTTGTGAATGTTTGCACTCGTTTCTCACCCCGATTTCTAGCGTACACCAATGTCTTCTGCGGGCCATTTCAAGCTGTATGAGGGCACCGAACCCGGCCGGAGTCGGAGAGATGCACAGTGAGGCTACTCTAGAGAGTACTTCTACTCTTCAGGTGCAATCAGGAAGGCCATATGATTTATGGATCCCACTGCAAAATAATAACGTGGGATCGGGGCTGGAGAGTAGTTTAGCGAGTAAAGATGACCTGAGTTGGATCCCAGAACCCACATGTTGGAAGGAGAGAACAGACAGAGCCGACTCTTCTCTGACCTTCTCATGTGCTACGTCTTGTACACCGTCCACAATATGTAAACGGGAAAACTTAAAGATGAATTAAGCTTAAAATTACAGTAGCAGAACATTAAGCCATATTGAAAACAAGCACATGTTCTTCCGACTTCGGAGCCGTTTGACTGTTCAGGTCCCAGCCCATAAAGTCAGCCTTGGATACAGACAGCCTAAAGGTAAAACGTAGAGGAATAAAGTCGGTCCTCCACAGAATGGCGTTTGTTACATAGTACTTAAAGAAACAGTTCAATAATGACTTTAAAATGCTTTAACCAGCCACTGGCTCGCATCTGTCTTTATCTACTCAGGGTTCCAGAGCAATATCTGTATTCTTACATGCTTTGGAACAGTTTATCACATGACAATTCATTTGACAAGTACTGGCCACCTAGGGTTGAGTCATTGTCCTCAAAGTGGAGGAAAAGTAGTGAACAAAGTGCTGTCTCTGCCCTCACAGTGCTCTTACCTTTCTGTCCTGAGTCCTAAGCTATAGACAGATTTATTCACAGTTCAGTTATAGCTGTTACTTCCTCTGAAGCTAGTTTCCGAGGCCAGAATTTGCTGAGGAAGCACATATGAAGAAGTGTCAACCCTCCATGGTTCAAGAATATTTAGAAAAATTTGTACCTGTACTGAATGTATGCAGAACTTATTCATTATATTATTCCCTAAAGAATACAACCACATACATAGGATTTACACTGTCCTAGGCAATATATGCAGGCTATATGCAAATGCTATGCCACCTCATATAAGGGCCATGGGTATCTATAGTTTATTTTAAAATTTGCTTTTAGCTTTATTTATTTTATTTAAGTATTTTGCTTGCATTTATGTCTGTATATCACATGTGTGCCTGGTGCCTGAGGATCACAAACAGAGCCATGGATCCATGAGCCACCATATGGGTGCTGGGCCCTCTATGAAGACAAGTACTCTTAACCACTGAGCCATCTCTCCAGCCCATCTATAGGTTAGTGCACCCTTAGTACCAATGCCCCACGCATACTGAAAGCATTATATTTAAGGTGGATGTGGTGATACATGTCTGGAATTATCATGTTGGCAAAGTGAGCCAGGGAGATCCCTGGACCAGCCATTTCAGTCAAATTGATGAACTCGAAGTTTATAGAGAAACTTTACCTTACATGGTTAAGGTGGAGAGCAATTGAAGAAGATATACAATGTTGACCTCTGGCTTCCACATGCACACATGGATATGCATACCCAATCATATGCACACTCATGCACATAAACACACACACACAAATACACACACACACACCCACGAGAGAGAGACAGAGACAGAGAGAGACACAGAGAGAGAAACAGAGAGAGAGAGACAGAGAAAGACAGAGAGAAAGACAGAGAGAGAAACAGAGAGAGAGAGAGAGAGAGAGAGAGAGAGAGAGAGAGAGAGAGAGAAAGAGAGAGAGAGAGGAGAAATTTTAACATTTAGTGGAGTGGACAGGCTTTAACAGGCCAGTCCTGGCTTCTGAAGCTTCTGTCTTCTTTATGGTATTGTCTGTCAATCATTTGCTCATTATTTATGCTAAGGCAGACATTTGGTTGTGTTGGAATTATAGTCCTGAGCAACAGACCCAATCTTGGTTCTAAGCTCTGTGTTTCCTCCTTGTCAACGTCCCACTCCTGACTTCTCCATCCCCTATCCAGGCCCGTGAAGCCAGATTTTATTTGCAGGTAAGCAGTCACCACAGACTCCAAGGAGAAGTGGCTTCTATACTAGAATTTTATATTTTTTGTTGTGCCCTATTAGGTACAGTTTCAGCTGCACCCTCCTGTCTCTGTCTATCTCCATCCCTTGACCATCTGTCTCAGAGTCTTCTGCTAACCAGTTTCTGAGGGTAACTCCTAACACCTTCAGTTTTCAGGTTCCTTCTGTGTCCTGCTCCCTGCCTGAACCATGACAGATGCATGTTGTATCACCGCATGGTGATGTTGCTCTGTCCTCATGGTCCTGACTGCTCTCAGCTTCATGTCTTGCCTGCCCTGGTATCCGGTTCCCTTGTGCTGATTGATAAATAACAGGGTGTGGCAACTGGTGAATTTCTAGCTATTTCTTTCTGGAGGGTCAGAGGCTGGAGACTCACCAGTTGGTCTAGATGGACCCAGGCTTCCGTTGGTGGTACTCATCCTTTAGGGGCTGACCTGTCCTTGTGACCACCCCTCTGCTCCAGCACCTGTCTGATTCTATACAGCATTTTTCTATGTCCTTTTGTGGGTAAGAAAGTCACTTTGGGACATTTTGCACAGTACTAGGGATCCTGAGAGACTCTCAAAGATTTTGGCTGAGACCTCTCTGCTTCATGTTTTATCTGGATGCTCCTCTAAGGGACGCAAACCCCAAACCTCTTGTGCTCTTCGCCACCTTCAAACTATTTGCTATAATTTGGATATTGAATGTCTCCCCAAAGCCAATATGCTATGGAGTTGGAGTCCTGCAGGCAGGCTTCAATAGAGCACTTTGTAGCAGAGCTGTGGGAGTGAAGCCAGAGCTGCAATGGGGCCCAAGAAGGGTAAAGGTGCAGGCAACATGCAGCACTCATCAGGGAAGGTGACAAGCAGTGTGCAAAGCTATCCTGGGATGGTAGCCATGTTGGATGTAATTGATGAGACTGTGCCCAACTGCTTGAAAGACCAATTCCTGCCACAGTAGGTGTGGGTGCTAGATATAGACCTTTAGAATTTCATGTTAGCTCTGCTGGATTTTGGTCCTGTTTTCCCATTTTTGGAAATGCTTATCCTGAACTTGTACCATCTTATAGGTATGTAACTTTTTTGTAGGTGTAGTTTTTTGTCCTGCAAACCAGTTTTCAAATAACCACATAGAGACATACTATAAATTATAAAGGTTCGGCCAATAGCTTAGACTTGTTTTTTTATTTTGTTTTTATTGAGCTTTACATTTTTCCTCATTCTCCTGTCTCCCTCCCCTCTTCCCTTTCACCCTGTCCACTGCCTCCCATGCTCCCAATTTACTCAGGAGATCTTGTCTTTTTTTCCCTTCTTAGGCAGATTCATGTGTGTCTCTCTTAGGGTCCCCTTTGTTACCTAAGTTCTCTGGGGGCTGTGGCCTGCAGGCTGGTTGTCCTTTGCCTTATGTCTAATATCCACTTAGGAGTGAGTACATATTATATTTGTCTTTCTGGGTCTGGGTTACCTTATTCATGATGGTGTCTTCTAGTTCCGTCCATTTGCCTGCAAATTTCAAGATGTCATTGTTTGTTTGTTTGTTTGTTTGTTTTGCCGAGTAATACTCCATTGTGTAAATGTACCACATTTTATTATCCATTCTTCGGTTGAGGGGCATCTAGGTTGTTTTCAGGTTCTGACTATTACAAATAATGCTGCTATGAACATAGTTGAACAGATGTCCTTGTGGTGTGAGTTTGCATCCTTTGGGTATATGCCCAAAAGTGGTATTGCTGGGTCTTGAGGTAGATTGATTCCCAATTTTCTGAGAAATCTCCATATTGATTTCCAGAGTGGCTGTACAAGTTTGTACTCCCACCAGGAATGGAGGAGTGTTCCCCTTATTCCACATCCTCTCCAGCATAAGCTGTCGTTAGAGCTTTTGATTTTGGCCAGTGTGTCAGGTGTAAGATGGAATCTCAGAGTTGTTTTGATTTGCTTTTCTCTGGTGATTTGAATGTTGAGCATTTCTTTAAGTGTCTTTTGGCCATTTGAGATTCATCTGTTGATATTTCTCTGTTTAGATCTGTACCTCATTTTTTTATTGGATTATTTGGTCTTTTGGTATCTAGTTTCTTGAGTTCTTTGTATATTTTGGAGATCAGTCCTTTGTCAGATGTGAGGTTGGTGAAGATCTTTTCCCATTCTGTAGGCTGCCATTTTGTCTTGTTGACCAGGTCCTTTGCTTTATATAAGCTTCTCAGTTTCAGGAGGTCTCATTTATTATTTGTTGCTTTCAGTGTCTGTGCTAGCGGTGTCATATTTAGGAAGTGGTCTCCTGTGCCAATGCATTCAAGGCTACTTCCTACTTTCTCTTCTATGAGGTTCAATGTGGTTGGTTTTTATGTTGAGGTCTTTGATCCATTTAGACTTGAATTTTGTGCATGGTGATAAATATGGATCTATTTGCATTCTTCTACATGTCAGCATCCAGTTATGCCAGCACCATTTTCGAAGATGCTTTTCTTTTTCCATTTTACAATTTTAGCTTCTTTGGCAAAAATCAGGTGTTCATAGGTGTCTGGATTGATATCAGGGTCTTCCATTTAGCTTTATACCAAACTGTTTTTAATACTGTAGCTCTATAGTAAAGTTTGAAGTCAGGGATGGTGACGCCTCCAGAAATTCCTTTGTTGTACAGCATTGTTTTGAATATCTTGGTTTTTTTCCATATGAAGTTGAGTAGTCCTTTCAAG